AGGCCTGCGCCAAACCGAGTTCACCCCTCCTCCCCCCCTCCCCCGAAGCGCCTTAGCATACGCAGCGAATAAGACGGTAGCGATATGAGTAGAAACCTTCGGCGTGTGTGGCTTCAGGAGCTTGTAGATGGTAGGACGTAAGAAGGAACACTCTTCTTTTTTGTACATATGAATTCAGAACTCGCCGCAAATTTATGTGTATTCAGTCGCCAAGATCTTTAGAAAACGTGCCTTCACTTATTTTCCGAGCTAGTAGCGCCTTATTTCCTCGCTAAGCCATCACGGACGAACTAGCACCGTCGATGATGTACCTTTTCTGCCTTTTCAAAGAATTTATTGTTTCTAAAAACGTTCAGTTTCACATCACCGCATGAAAGATCCAGTTGAGAAAACGAGTGACTTCGAATGAGTCGTGGAAAAAAATGAGCAACAAATAAAAATAGAAATCTCAAGAGGGCAAGATCAGAACCTATGTAAGGCTACCCGTCGATTGAAAATTATAAGAGACCAAGTTCCAGAGGAGTAATCAAAACAATACTGCCGCGTTATGCAGGACACAATTGGAACCGTAGGAGAACTACCCCACGAATAAAGCTCTGATCAGTTATTTCAGAGGAGTAAACAAAAAACTACAACGTGTCTAACTTTGCAAAATTAAAACTTAGGTGAAACTACGCTAGGAATATTCCACGGTGATTAGGTTTCAGTGAAGTAGCCGGAACAATACTACTGTATCTCCCTTTATCATGAACTCGGTAGATGACGTCGAAGCACGGTGCGACATTCCCCTAGCGGACGCGGCCACTCGCCACCCCGTTGCCATTGCATTCCTGGGGGTAGGTGATCTTGCTGATTCTTTCGTCGACCGAACATACGCTCTTCCTTGCTAAACTAATTGGTTGAAGAAGTGTGATCCATTCCAACATAGAGAATGTGTACCAGCTAAAACGTTTAAAGAAACCATATTTCGCCCGCTGAAACACCGTACGTTTTTTTGCATGCGGGTTGTGGCAAAAAAGCTACGGACGGCAAAGTTCCCACTACTGCTACCATATCTCCCAAAAACGCTCCTTAATGTTGTTAGGGCCAGTAAGTTTACGAACGATTTTCCGAAGAAGTGACCAGTTTTCGAGAACACTACCGCACGATTTTTCATTTCCAGATGAAACCCGTCATCAGAGCTTCCCCATATCAAATTTATCGCCAGAATATCGTACTGGACACTAGAAATACTTACCGCCCCGGTAAAGAAACTTCGTCCACGTCCCTCAATACAACATTCATATGACGATCAAAAGCGACCACATACCCTCTTGCAATTCGATCGATTCGATTTAAGGCACGAATGTGAACCTGAACGACTAGGAGGAATGTTTTTATGTGAGCTTGAGAACCAGAACGATGAGTCATGGCGATCAATAAGGAGAACCAGAAAAGTCGCTCACTCGACCTCAATTCCATGATACCCCTTCATAGCGCGATACAGCAATGACATCGGACCTGTGGACCATTGACTGTGTACCGCTTCGAGAGCATCTTGCCTGAATCAAAAAAGCATACCTGCCACTTTATCACATGCTTGGTTCAGAAACCCCAGCAGACTCTTAGGGTATGGAGGGTCCAACACTCTCGAGACTGATCGATAAGTAGGTTATCTTGTTGATTACTGTTATTGGAAAAGATCGGTCTTGTATACTCATAGGCGTTCATATTGGAACTTATTTACGCAGTGATGTTGTGATTTTATGTCACGTATGCCTTATCCGGACGTAATAAACTCATACTCAATTCTTTTTCCACTAAGTTCCGTCAGCTAAAAAAATCGCCCCGAAATATTGAAAAGCTCGGCAAACCAGCAGGAAGGCAAATGAAGCAAGTGAAATTAGGGAGTGATACCAAAAAATGTCAGCTTCCTTCGAAGGTTAAAAGTGCTGAGAACTCGGTTCCCGCTTTCATCGCACACAACATGTATAACATTTCCACCTTATGTCGGGCACTTCAGAATTACAGAGAATGTGTTTCAAGTTCGATACCGAATAGGACGCTTTCCAATCAAGTGGGATATTTAAATCTAACAGAACACGCAGGACGTCATAAAGACCCCACCTCATTTGATTACAAAAGCACCTGAGCTGATTCGAAAGTCGTCCAATCTCAAGAACCTGATTTAATCATCTTATTTATGGTCTACGCTTTTCTATCTTTATGTGTGAATGGAGAGTATTGCAACCAGGGTACAGCATCGTTGTGTGAAACACATAAAGGGGGGGAGGCTCGTATTTGGTCGTTGTTGAAAGGGGGGCGGGGGCGGGGATCGTTGCTGCCTTTGAGAGAAATATGTGGCGTTGGTTTCCCGGTTGTTGACCTATTGCGTGATTTTCGTGATTTTTCTTGTTTCATGTGCACTATACACCCCGGTGTAGGTAAGCCTCAGGGAAGGGGAGGGGGGAGTCGTACCGAAATCCTCATTTAGGTAGGGGTGGGGTCGTACGTATACCACCACCTCACACATCACGATGATGTACTCTGATTGCAACAACTGAAGCATTGGCAGAATTCGCACCTTACTGTCGGCTGCACCCGTGGTTCGAACAGTTTCCGTCCACCAACTGTCATCTCTTCTAGACGAACAATTCTTTCCCTCTTTTGCTGCCTAGAAATCTTTAAATCCCACGTAAGTTCTCAGGAAATGGAAAAGCTCAGAAATGAGGTTTTACTTTTTGCTCTTCGTTCCTAGTGGCCTGTCCAGTTCACAGATCAGCTGTGCCACAAGAGGTTCCTCGCTCACGAAAGCCTTCTCAAAGTCGTCAACGGTTTCATGGAAATCGTTGCTGCTGGAACCTTCAGGGGATCGTTCTAGTGCCACCGCTGCGTCGAAGTTCGCGGAGAATGGATCAAACATATCTGCTGAAACCTTTAAAGTAACAATAGAGGGTAGATTTTTCCACGGGTAGATCGACTACCAGACCGGCAAGGTTCACACTGCTCAGCGTGGAGAATGAAAAAAACCATTCCGATATCAACTGAGCAAACTACTTGAACTAAAATGGAACCATTTCTCTGCACAATTGTCTCAGCAACAATCTTCAAAGCGCAGTTTCGTCCCTTACCAGCTGTTATTTTCCCGACTCCCATATAAGCACTCCGCTCAAGTGGATCCATAAGGCGATTAAGTGGATTCATTCTCTGCCACAGAACCCTCAACAGCTAGGAGGTATCAAATGCCTGACGTGCTGATCATTACTATAAAACCTATGAAAATCTAAGAATTCATGAAGCGACGCGAAGCTTTTGTCAATGCAGCAGGACTAAGTGGACAATCGTGTTGTGAATAGGAAAATCTTCGGAAAGTGAGAATTTCTCGCTTGATACAATCCTTCTGCCCCCTCCCCAACACACGCCTGTTCTTGAGCCAGAACCCGCCGCTACACCCCCCGCCCTCTGGAGAAACGGGTCAAAACTACACTATTTGGTTGTTCAACGGCCAAGCGGCCTATTTTGCGGCCATCTGGATAAAATCTTCCAACCGTTTATGGACCAGAGGGTAGGGCAACCAACGAGAGATCATCCATACACTTACTCTTTCCGAATCTTACTGCTACGATCAACAGTGGATACTTTTAGCTTTCTTGAGGAATTGTAGAAGTGAATGAAAAAAAAACAAGCTGGCTCCTTCCACATAGAGAAACCGATGAGTCACGAAGAATAGGGAGATATCTAAAGAGTTGTCACTTCTAGGGTCTTTTTAGCATCGCAGAGCCCTACAAAACCATTCAGATGAGTCAACTCACAAGCAAGCTGAATTGTAGTCCGCTGCGGATGAAGGGGCGTGTCAGGCAGTACAAGTGTAAGTCGCAAAACCCGTTCTCTGCCAGTTGTTGAAG